AGAGGGGGGGGGGGGGGCTTGCTTGAGCCGCGCGCGACTGGCTGTCGGCGGGGAAAGGCGCTCCGCCCAGCTCACGCGTACGCCGCCCGCGTGAGCAGGCGTCGTCTACCACGGAAGCGCCACGCTGAAGCGCAAGATGCAGCTAGGCAAGATCGTATGAGCGTGCCTTGCGGCGCGGGCCGTCTGCTCAGCGCGAGTGAGACGGGCGGGGAGGGTACCGCAGGGGGGAGGGGCGGCAGCTGGGAGTGACGAGTGGGGATCGCACTATGTGCGACGAGATAATCTAAGATACGCGCCTGCCCCGCCGCGCCCCGCCTTCACTCGCGCCTCTGGAAATTCAGTACCGCAATACGAGCTTGGAGTGTGAAGGCTTCGTAGCCCTCCGATCTACTATGAAGACCCGCAGGTCTGGAGCGAAAAAAAGGCAAGGCGTGAAGAGCGTGTGCCGTGTCATCTCGTAAAGCCGTAGAGTAGCGGACCACCCTGTACGTACGTTCTGAGAACGTACCCGAGAGCACGTACCCGAAAAGGTGAACCGCCGACCGACGGAATTGGAGACAGAGAGTAAAAGTTTTGCCACCCAGTCACGCCGCTGCTATGCAGACACCATTCGCCTTACTGCTCTCGCAGTCGCTTTCGCAGTCACCACCCGGCTTGTGTAAGAACTTCTGCGCCCGGAAGACCCAACCCTGGGATGCGCGCTGCACCTGGAATGGCTGCGGGGGCTGCACCGAGTGCCCCGTGGTGTCACAGCCACCACAAATGCCACCGCCGCCGCCGCCACCCCAGTTCTGTCCAGCCTGGTGCGCCCAGAAGACCCAACCCTGGGAAGGACTGTGCACCTGGAACGGCTGCGGGGGCTGCACCGAGTGCCCTGTGGTGTCACCGCCACAAATGCCACCACCTGCCCCACCGCCGCCACCCCAGTTCTGCCGAGCCTTCTGCGCCAAGAAGACCCAACCCTGGGAAGGACTAAAAGGACTGTGCACCTGGGACGGCTGCGGGGCCTGCGCCGAGTGCCTTCCACAGCCACAAATGCCGCCACCTGCACCGCCGCCACCCTCACCGCCGCCACCCTCACCGTCGCCGCCGTCCACCTCGCCTTCACCGCCGCCGCCGTCGGCCTCGCCGTCGCCTCCGCCGCCGTCCTTCCCGCCCGCCCTTCCAGAGGGCACGCCACAGGCTCCGACACCGCCACCCCGGTTGCCGCCTCCCCCCTCGCCACCGGACCCATGTGCTAAGGTTCTGTGCGCGTCGACCGAGACGCACAACCTGATCGACTTCAGCCTGGCGACGCTGCAGAACAACAACCTCGGCGGCGCCGGCCCCGACCCGGACGACTCTCCGGAGAACATGCACCTCGCATCAGTCGGGATGACGGCCGACGGCGAGCCTTTTGACCTGATCATCACCAGCGAGACGGAGTACGTGCCGCGCAATGCCGCGAACCACAACGGCATCAACGGCGCGATCCCGCAGATCAACCTCGGGCAAAACGAGACCGTGACGCTGCGGTTCGACTTTGTCGACAGCAACGGCCAGCCAGTCGTGCTGAGCGAGTTCTTCTTCACCTACTACGACCTCGACCAGGAGACGGACCTGCCGTCTGGGGCGGAGTCGCTCACGGCGAGCGGCTTCGTCAAGTACGACGTCGACCCCAACACGGAGCTCGACATCAGCACCGCGCCAGACGGCTCCGTCACCTTCTCCTCCACCAGGCGAGGGACGCTGGACGACAACCCGACCGACCCACTATCACTGACGTCGGAGCAGCTCTCACGCTCGGTGACGCTCTTGTATCGCGACACCTCGACGGTGAGGCTCACCTACTCGACGACCGCGGCCGTCTGCAGCCCCACCCCGTGCGGCGGGCGCAACTTCCTCTTTGCAGGCGTCAATCCGTTCCCCGTCGTTGACCCATGCTGCCTTTCGCCGCGGGGGCCACCGCCCTTCCCACCACCGCAACCGCCGCCTCCGCCCGCATTACCTGTACCGCCGTCTTCTCCTTGCATTTGTGCTTCGGACGAGACGCACAACCTGATCGACTTCAGCCTGGCGACGCTGCAGAACAACAACCTCGGCGGCGCCGGCCCCGACCCGGACGACTCTCCGGAGAACATGCACCTCGCATCAGTCGGGATGACGGCCGACGGCGAGCCTTTTGACCTGATCATCACCAGCGAGACGGAGTACGTGCCGCGCAATGCCGCGAACCACAACGGCATCAACGGCGCGATCCCGCAGATCAACCTCGGGCAAAACGAGACCGTGACGCTGCGGTTCGACTTTGTCGACAGCAACGGCCAGCCAGTCGTGCTGAGCGAGTTCTTCTTCACCTACTACGACCTCGACCAGGAGACGGACCTGCCGTCTGGGGCGGAGTCGCTCACGGCGAGCGGCTTCGTCAAGTACGACGTCGACCCCAACACGGAGCTCGACATCAGCACCGCGCTAGACGGCTCCGTCACCTTCTCCTCCACCAGGCGAGGGACGCTGGACGACAACCCGACCGACCCACTGTCACTGACGTCGGAGCAGCGCTCACGCTCGGTGACGCTCTTGTATCGCGACACCTCGACGGTGAGGCTCACCTACTCGACGACCGCGGCCGTCTGCAGCCCCACCCCGTGCGGCGGGCGCAACTTCCTCTTTGCAGGCGTCAGTGCATTCGACCTCCACCCATGCTGCGTGCAGCCGCCGTCGCTCCCGACCTCTCCGCCGCCATCTCCCTTTCCGTCGCAACCACCCCTGGAAGCGCCGCCATCGCCACCCCCCACACCGCCGCCACCATCCCCCATACCGCCGCCATTCCCCCCACCAGCACCACCTCCGCCAGCGCTGCCATCGCCCTCGCCCTCGCCGCCGCCGCCCTCGCCGCCGCCTCTGCAGGTTGTCGCCAAGGTAGACTGTCAGGGTTCTCCCTCTCCGGCGTGCAATGCCTTTTACGAATCGCTATCCTCCAAGCCGTTTGCCGATGCCATCTACGCCGCCGTCTCGGAAGCCACGTCCGAGCTGCTCAACGCCAGCACCACGATTGAGATGAGCGTCAGCGACTCGACCCAGTTGCAGATTCAGACGACCTTCGACTCACCCACCCTCATCGAGATTCTGCAGAGCTCCAACGACGGGCCGTGCAGCGGCACGACGCTCTGCACTGTCACAGTTGTGACGTACAACTCGAGCAGCGTTGCGGGGCCGCCGCCCCTGAGCCCCCCGCCTTCGCCGCCTCCGCCCCTGAGCAGCGTTACGGGGCCTCCGCCCCTGAGCCCTCCGACGTACAACTCGAGCAGCGTTGCGCCCCTGAGCCCCCCGCCTTCGCTGCCGCCGCCCCTCAGCCCTCCGCCCTCGCTGCCTCCGCCCCTGAGCCCTCCGCCCTCGCTGCCTCCGCCCCTGAGCCCACCGCCTTCGCTGCCTCCGCCCCTAAGCCCGCCGCCCCTGGGGGCTGGGCGGCGCCTGCAGACTGCGGACTGTGGCCCCGAGACTGTAACCGCCGTGGTCATCACGCGCGAGTACCTGTACAGCAACGACTCAGAATTTGAGACGCTTGCACAGCCCGTCGCAAACCTATCGATGCAGGCGGCCAGGAACGTCACAAACAGCGACTGTCTTAACCAGACGATAATCTTGGATGCCGCAACCAAAGCGATCAGCGCACGGGTGACCGCCTAGCTTAGCCTACCGCTAGCGCGCCGAAAGAAGAACACGGGGGGGAGATTGCCTGGGAGGCGGAGATGGCACACGCGCACTCGCTCGCACTGTGTGCGCAGGTCACAGTCGAGATCGACAACGTCACCAATCCCGTGGATGCCGTTGAGGCGGTCGCAGATGCTCTAGCAACAGCCGACCTGACGATTCTCTCGCCGCCGCCGTCGCTGTCGCCCTCGCCGCCGCCGCCGGCCCCGCCGCCGCCCACTCCGCCGCCGCCCACTCCGCCGCCGCCCACTCCGCCGCCGCCCACTCCGCCGCCGCCGTCGCTGTCGCCCTCGCCGCCGCCGCCGTCGTTGTCGCCCTCGCCGCCGCCGCCGATCAGCCGACGC